GGAAGACCTTCGATGAGATGGATCAATTCTGTGACTGGAGCGGTGGGAATAAGTGCATCTGAGATGGCTAGGTTGGCACAAGATAGAACAGCATTTAGAGCTCTTATACATAGGGTCGCTATGAGTTGCAAACTAATTTAGTAGGTATTGAAATAAGGACAGATGACAAAGTCTACAAAATTAAAGAAGAGGGCTGAGCTCCAGGGCATCTCAGCTTTCAGTGGTAAAAGAGATGAGATGACACCACTACAAAGGTTAACAGAAGCCAGTGCTCTAAAGCTAGCATGAAATTAAAGACAGATTTTACTGGTTTGGTTTTTTAAAAGATTTAAGTTATAACATGCTTATATGGAAATGATCGAATAGTGGACCTAAATTAATACATGAGAAAGGAGCAGGGCAAACTGATGAAGTAATATCCTGGAGTAAACAAGGCAAGATTAATTTAGCATGGTAGTTGAAAAGGCAGCCTTTGCTCGAAACTCACTGCCATCAAGTCAGATGCTCTAGGGGGTTTCCGAGGCTGTAAATCCCATGGGAGGAGATTTCTATCTTTCTGGCAGATTTCAATCATAAAATAGGTGCGACCTTTGTGTTAGGAGTGCACATCCCTTAGTCTAGGAGCATCGCTCATACCAGAAGGCGAGGCAGAATATTTGAGTGCAGAAGCCAGTAGGTGGCAGATGTGATTGAGGGGAAAGGGAAGAGTTCGTCATCTCAGAGCTCGGGTGTCAGAGAAGGTGCTATAAATTTGGGGTGTCAAACAGTTGACTGGGGGAATGAATGACCTAATAAAAAAGACATGTGGTGGCTGGGAAGAACACAGGGCACCTCTGAGGTTCAGAATTAGGCCATATAATAAGCAAGATTTCTCTGCTTGTGGCCCTTTGAACAAAAGTGACAAGTGTTTTTTTTTATTTTCACTTTTCCACTTAAATTTCTTTTCCCCAAGTACTTTTGGATTCTTCATGTATCAAAATGTTACTTCCAATCTATTTTTTAACTTAAAATTCATTATTGCATACATTTTTCACCATAAGCTACTACAAAAGAATGTCAATCCTTTAATGAGCATCACTGTCTTTTAAATAAACATAAATTTATTGACTTCAGTGACAATGAAATTTTTATTCATTGTATGCCTTTTGTGACTAATCACACTCTTTTCTGGTCTTTTTCAGCATATCTGGTTGATAAAGTAAAAATCAAAGGCTATTATGCATTCAAGCTGACTGAAGAAAAATCAAAACCCAGATTTGGATTCTTCACACCTGATTTCAAAGCTAAATCCTCAATACAGTTTTACAATAAG